CTGTGACAGCTGTGGGCACCGCGCATGGGACCACAGCACATCCTCGAAGGCATAACCCCACTGACGGGGGTCTCCTCCATCCCACCTAGTGAGATGTGCCCCCAAGACCACCTCTCCCCCCTCCCCATATCTGCAAAAGGGCTGTTGATGCCCACGTAGCCCCCATGCCCCCACCCACTGGCACAGTCCCGCGGCTCCCAGCCCAGCGATCCCTCCTGGCAGCGCTGCCCGGTGCTGGGATGCAGGGGAGACTGGTGATGGAGACACCCTGAGCCAGGGCAGCGTTTCAATAGCTGCTATTTCAGACGTCAGTACGAGAGCTAAGGTGCCTCTCCCAATTTCATTACCACTACACCCAGCCAGAAGCTAATCGGCTCGTCTGCCACTGCTTATTTTAAAATCAAAACACATGTAAGAAGGTTATATTTGTTCCAAAGAAATTAAATAAAACCAACACAATGAGAATAATTTTTTTTTCTCTAGCATTACAGCAGAGGTGTCTTTGGACAGAATTGTATATTCTCATAAGAATTTATTTAACAAGTTTTTAATCTTTAAATATAGATTTAACACTTTTTTTACAGGTACATATACAATATAGTTCGTTTAAACTTGCAGTCAGAGAAAATTCTCTACTGTAATTTATAACATACACATGAAGAGCCTAGTTGAACAGCATACTTAAGGTAACATACCATGTTGTGTGCAAAGTTTCAAATGTTAAAAATCTCAGACTGTACATTCAGATTTGCAGAACTTATCAACCTCATAAATTAATAAAAGCTCAGATTTAAAACTATGGAAGACAAAAAAGATTAAAACCATTTAATATGCAATGTGTGCTATGTTTGAGACAAGTATTTACAGTTGTACCCCAAAAATGTGTACTGTTACCACAATTGTTACCACTATAAACAGCCCCGACAGTAACTTAAGAGACTCCTACTTTCCCACCTAGCAAGTGCAATGTGACCAATTTTAAAGTAGAGAGAAACAACCTTCAGTGACTTAAAACCTCTCTGCTATGATGGTCAGCAGCTGAAGAACACTGGGACCTTTCTGAGTCTTGCAGCGTTGCTCAGTTCAGACTCAGCCGGTCACGTTTTTGAGGGTGTATGGGGTCACCTGCAATACCGGCCACCCAGACTGGAGAAACGCCCACGGCTGCGTGGCAGCACGGCAGGGAATCCCCGGGCAACCACAGCCATTAGGCAGTTCAACAATTCCTCCCTACAAAAATGATCACCAAAACAAAATACCCCAGAATGTTTTATCTTAACAACCTGGTACTGTGTCTAAGAATCCATGGTTCACAAATCAAAGTCAGATCATAAAGGTCCCCCTTTAGTTCACGGTAGAAAACATTTCATTTTGACGGGACAGAGCAAATTCACTACCGCATGCACACTACCAGCCCCGCTCTCAACACAGTCAGATGCTCTTCGCACGCATCTGCTTGAAAGTCAAACCACCTGTACCTATGTTGTACAAAAGCAAAAACTAGACAAGGAAACACAAAATTAAATTATGAGTGTTCAATATTCTTTTTTTCTTTCTCAAAAATTCCATAGATACATCATTGTTAAAGATGCTGAAAAGTACAGTCTTATCACAAGAACATCCTTAGTGCAAACATGGACATTTAAACTTTGATTTATGGCACGTGTTCCAAAAGTACATACATTTAATGTAAACTTCAACACTTGCTAGATACAGGTTTCAGCCTTGGGACACTTTGGGACCCTAAGTGATTGGCGACAACCCTGAGTTGTCAGTTTGACCTGATCCAAACCTCACTGAAATCAACAGGACTGACTGCAATGGGCTGGAGTCAGACCCTAAGTGCAAAAAGAGGATCTTTAGCGTTATTGCATCTTCGCACGTGAGCCAGCCAGATGATGCTCTTACAGAACATTACATTCACACAGCTGAAGTAGATATTTAAGAAAAACCCATTCATTAAAACAATTAAGCAGGACATACAGCTTCTTTGCTTGTGTGGGTTTGTTTTTTTGTGGGTTTTTTTGGTTTACCAAAACTCAACTCTTTTATTGGCAACTTCAACAGCTGTCAGCTAATAAGTAGGTAAAGCCTTCAACCTGCAGAGGAAATTTCAAGCATCTAAACAAAGTGTCAGGAAACTGTAGTGTACTTCTCTGATGAAACGTGATGGATGTCATGGAAAAACAGCAGGTAAAAGTAATAAAAATACTGTACTTTCCGTAGGAGGAAAAAAAGAAAGAGCGGAGAATGGCTTCCTTTATGACTATGAGAAGCTGCTTAGGACCCCAGTCCCATTCAGTGCAGATGAAGCTGTGGAGGTCTGTGAATGTGATGAATAGTACAGGACAACTCCAACTATTGTGCTATTTCTCTGTAACACTTAGTTGAAAGCTTCCAAAGAGCATCGAAAAAAGGATGCTACTAGTTCACCCTTAATTCAAGGGGAACTAAACTTTCTCGTGTTACACAGGGCAGCATCTATAAAGTAATGAAGAATGATGTTAATATTAAAGCATCTTATTCCAAGAAATACATTGTTCCCTGTAATCATGTAACATTTGTATAACATTAGAAAAAAAAATATAAGTGCACTCCTGCGGTTCTCCCTAAAAGCTGAACTCCCACTGGCTTCAGTGAGAGCCTTGTCTAAGGCAAGACCACAGGGTTTGACTCATTTCCATCATCTATCACTTGATTATCACAGCGTGGCCAGCTAATATCTTCTCTAGACTCCTTATTTTTTCAGGCTTAAAATGGTTTTCTACAGCGTTGAAAAAATAGCTGTTCTATGAAGCTGGCAGGTTGTACAGAGACCCTGCTTTAACATTCCAAAGGCCAAAAAGAATTCAACGTTACCTGTAATAGACCCTGTATAAATACGATAAGCCTGTGGCTGCAACCATTAAAGTGCATGAGTAATAGTGCAAACAGCTGTGCCACATCTGCCAAACTACCAGCGGCGTTTTCAACGCAACTTAGACGAAACTTGCGCGTTTCAGCTAACGTGCTTACACTAGCCTGCAAGAGCTCATGAGTTCAGCCATGTACCATACTCTTACTGGGCAAACTCAAGCCACGTGGCCTGGGGAGCCATGGAAAGGGTCGCCTCAGGCTCACCACGGTCAAGAGAACGATCCCCAGCACCCTGGCCAGCAGGAGCAGAGGACATGCAAGCTCAGTACTTTGGGCACTACCAGCGAGGGAAACCTTTGCTGAGCTTTACTGCATGAAGCGCACACACAGGGCATCCCCTTAAGGTTTGGAAGAGAGAATTTGGCAAGCAGGGTGTTGAAGCAAACTAGGAAAGGGTCTGGCGTGCAGGACAGGAGCCCGCGTCCTCCTCAAACAAGGTGGGTGCGTGCGCCTGCTCCGGCACGGAGCATCCCACCACGCCTGCTCTGAACACTCCCTGTATTCGGGCTCA